GATGCCATGATCTTAGTTTTCTGAATGTTGAGCTTTAAGCCAACTTTTTCACTCTCTTTTTTCACTTTCATCAAGAGGCTTTTTAGTTCCTCTTCACTCTGTGCCATTAGGGTGGTGTCACCTGCATATCTGAGGTTATTGATATTTCTCCTGGCAATCTTGATTCCAGCTTAAGCCTCTTCCAGCCTGGCGTTTCTCATGATGTACTCTGCATATAAGTTAAATAAGCAGGATGACAACATACAGCCTTGACGAACTTCTTTTCCTATTTGGAATCAGTCTGTTGTTCCATGTTCAGTTATAACTGTTGCTTCCTGACCTGCATACAGGCTTCTCAAGAGGCAGGTCAGGTGGTCTGGTATTCCCATCTCTTTCAGAAGTTTTCTCAGTTTATTGTGATCCACACAGTTAAAGGCTTTGGCATAGTCAATAAAGCAGAAGGAGATGTTTTTCTGGAACTCCCTTGCTTTTTCGATGATCCAGAAGATGTTGGCAATTTGATCTCTGGTTCTTCTGCCTTTCTAAATCCAGCTTGAACAGCTCAAAGTTTACGGTTCACATATTATTGAAGCCTGGCTGTTAGTGTGTGAGATGAGTACAATTGTGCAGTAGTTTGAACATTCTTTGACATTGCCTTTTTTAGGGATTGGAATGAGAACTGACTTTTCCAGTCCTGTGGCCACTGCTGAGTTTTCCAAATTTGCTGGCATATTGAGTGCAGCACTTTCACAGCATAATCTTTTAGGATTTGAAATAGCTCAACTAGAATTCCATCACCTCCACTAGCTTTGTTTGTAATGATGCTTTCTAAGGCCCACTTGACTTCACATTACAAGAGTATATCTGTGTATATATCAATACATGCATGTATTTTCTAGCTTAATCTGCCCAAAGGAACTAGAAGCAAAAAAAAAAAATAAAAAAAGAAGAAAGAAAGAAAGAAAGAAAACCCTCAGTATCAGTGAGCATACCCAGTGCTCAGATCTTGGTTCCTAATATCATTTTCCACTAAAATACCAAGGAGTCCTCAGAGAAATCTGTGACCAAAGCAGGTAATATTCTAGAGGTTCCTGGAGTATCTTGTTATGCCAGAAAATAAGGAAATGTTTTTAAAAATGATGAGGATATATCATAGTGATTAAAGAAAGCTTGAAATATTAACAGCTCCCACTGACCAAAGTTGAAACAATTTGAAAATATAAAAGGAGCATATGAATATAAACCACTAAAGGAAATAGAAATTCATGTAACTGTATTGATAATAAATAAGTAATTAGTAGATGAAAAAGGAGGACTCAGTGCAGAATGTCAAGATCTGATCAGTAAATGTGCGTGTGTTATAAGCCTTAGAAAATCATCATTTTATAATCATCTTCAAGAATGGTTCAGGCAAAAATCATCAATGGCTACTCAATTCAGGGGGTTGTTTGTATGAGGAGCAGGATATTTTCATGTTCTTAAACTGACTTCTCACCAATTGCTTATTAGTTTCAAAGGGAATAGTTGTAACTATATGTTGTAGAAAACTGACAATGTCTTGGTTAGGTAAAGAAAGTTAAATCCTCAGTGAAGAGCAAATAAACATTGTGAGCTTCCAGAATATGGTACTAGGAGATCACAGTATCATTTATGGATATTCTAGCTGGAAATGCATTACCTAAATGTAATTATGAGAAAACATCTGACAAACCTCAAATCAGGTATTTTATACTAGAAAAAAAAGAAGAAAGGCATGATATTCTTCAAAACACCAGTGTCATAAAAGAAAAAGAAAGGCTGTAGAAATGTTCTAGATTAAAGGAAACTAAAGAAACATGACAACTAAATGCAAGACCCACTACTAGACTAATTCCTATTCTAGAGAAAAAAAAAATGCTATTGGAGACATTTTTGGGTCAATTGAGAAAATTGCATTATAGATATAGATTAGATTAAAATTTTCTATTAATGTTAAATTTACTGAATTAGATAACAGTGATGTTGTTATATAAGAGAATATCTCTCTAAAGAAAGATGCTTTCAATTATCTAAGGGCAAATGAGCATGATGTACCCAGCTTTCTTCCAGCTGGTTCAGGAAAAATATGATATATAATGCTCATTGGGCATAAAATATACAAAATTTATATATCAATAGAGGTGAAAAAGAGGTGTACAGAAAAAGAAAATAGGATAATGTTAACAATAGGCCAGACTGAGTAAAGAATAGCAAGTGTTTTTGTATGATTTCTATCCTTGATAATTTTTGAAACTGTAAAATTATTTACAAATCAAGAATTGGGAGAGAGAGCAAGAATGAGGGAGCAAGACCTAGCCAGCATTGATTATTATCATTCAGAATCTGGCTGTTTTCCTGTCTATGTGAATTTAAGCAAGTTTTGTAACCTCTCTGCGCCTGTTTCCTCAACTGCGAAGTTAAAGCAATAGAGCCTTCCCTTGATTTTTTCTGGGAAATAAACAGGGTAATGAAAGTGTTTACTGTTATTAATTTGGATGTCTTTTCACTAAAGAGTTGTCTTAGCCTTGGGAGATAAATTAGGATGGATGTGACGCTTGGGGTGAGAGGCTCAAAGCAAGATATGGAGGGAGGTCTGTAGGCTGGGACTTGAACTGAAGATGCTTGAGAAGCCTCTGAGAAGAGGCTCATTCAGATCACCTGCATCCCAAAATCAGAATTTTAGAGCTAGATCCAGAGGTACAAGTAAAGAGTGTACATAAATACTCACTTTGAATGCAGCAGAAGTGGTGGCAATTGTGGTAATTGTTGAGATTCAGAACCTTTGTGGTCTTCTAGAAAATAAAGTCCGAAAGAACCAGAGTCTTTGGAGGGTGAATATTTCCCTATAACAAAAGCAGCAGTGAAAGTAAATTTGGTGCTTAGAAATAGGACAATTATAAATAAACCTAGTACAAGTTCTCCCAAAACAGAGGTTGCTTTGTAAAGAATTCTGTCAGTTAATGAGATGCCTAAATGACAGTATCAGGCAAGAGGAGAAAAATGTTGGCAGAGTGCTTAAGAGGTTGAAGGCCGATTCTGTTGTGCCCACGTTGGTTTCCTAATTTGGGTAGTTTCTCTCACAGGCTCCTTATTTGACAACTTTGTCAGTGTTATGATTAGAAACATAATGCATTCCACATGTGCCTGGAAGCCTGAGAGGCCAAATTTCAGGGGTTTTAGTGATGACTGCCAAGGTGGTCCCCTGGAAAGCCACCTTGCTGTGACCCTGGATCAAGTCACAGCTTCCCTGGCTGGTTGTGAATAGTGACTCTTAGAGGGGGCAGGGCAGGGGCTTGACAACCTTTGTTTAGTCTTGTCTCTGTGCTTGCCCTCCTGCAGGCCTGAGAGAGGGCAGGGACACCAGGAAGGCATTGATTTGTGCCTGAGGGGGTGGGAGTAGAGAGGGCTTCATGGAACCCTTCTCCTTCTGTTTACTGCCTTACTTCCCCCCTGACGTTTTCAGCTGGTGCATTATTACACAGTAGAACACTTCTCTCTCCCCTGGGCAGAGCAGTGTGGTGAGCAAGGGGCCCAAGCATAAACTGAAACTGCTTGGCTCAGCTGCTTATTGGCTTGGGACTTGGGAAGAACTGGTTAGCCTCTCAGCACCTCAGTTTTCTCAGCTGCAAATGGGGTAATTCCTCCAAGGTAGTTGTAAGGATGAGAGGAGGTGACGAGCATGAATTGTCTAGAGCCCAGCCTAGGTGCCTAGTGGATGGTTGTCAGCATCATTCTTCTAGCACTTGAGAAGAGGCACAGACTGCCCTTTCTAACTCAGTGCTTCGGGGTCAGCTTCCAGGTCCTAGCATAATCTATGATTATAAATTCACTCTCAGAGGCCCATCAGTTGACGGCTTCTACTAACTCCTCTTCTTTATGGCTTTAGTAGTCCTAACCCCCTGAAATAGCAAACCAAGCTGAACCCGTTCATTCCAATGTAATTAATATTTGGCATGCAGTACATCTCTGCTTAAAATGTTATCTATTCAAATCATACTCACACCTGATTTACATTTCTTTCTAGCGTTTGAAGAAGACTCATTTCTTTTTCTAGGAGTTAGATTTGACCACTCCTCAGTAAATAAGAAACTTATAGATGTTTTCAGAGTCCAATAAGTCTCATGTTATAATATATATAGATAAATATATATGTATATGTATTTTAAAAATATATTAAGATATCTATAATATTAAATTTGTTTTTCAATAAAACCAGACCTTGTGGTAGTTGTTTTCATATTTTCAGTTGAGTCTAAAGCCTTAATGGTTTGAATGAATTATTCCTCATCTTCTTCTTATCCTGTACAACTTTATGAAGCTCTGTGAGTTCATGACTGGTTTGAAATTTGTATAAAATTCTCTTATCAACTGCCAGTCAGAAGTATTACAACAAAAGAACTTGTTTTAGGGTTAAAAGAGCTTGATTTGTGTCTTGGCTTTACCACTTACTAGTTCCACAACCTCAGGCAAGTAAATTCACTTCTCTGAGCCTCAATTTTATCTAGAAAATGGAGATTAAAAATATCCTTGACCAGGATAGTGTTGAGGATTAGAAGTAGTACTGTCAAAGAAATGTTGGTAAAGTGCATGTCAATGGTAGTTTAATTTATTGTATTTATTGATTTTTTTCACTGTGCAACTGAGGATTTTCTGAAGAGAGAGAAAATATGATTTATCTTCAACATATGGCAATTTTTAAGTTAGACCCTATGCATTTTCTCATATAGTCCAACCTTCTCAGCTGATGACTGGGGCTTAAACCTTTATGCAATAACACAACAGCATCTGCCTCTTTTGAAAGACAATGAGTCAATAAGAGAACCCTCTGCACTCCAGGCAGGAAATGTGTTCGGGACATCTAAGGTAGCATGTGTATTGTTAGTATTATTCACCTGGATCATTTTTTGTGCTGATACAGTAACATCATCACCACCCGAAGTGGAAAAAAAATAAATTATTTATGGCTTTGCATACTCGTGCTGGGTCCGGAAAGCTTTTGTGAATAGTGAGGACTTGAGCTGAACTCTCCAAAGGAATAATGAAGGGGGTCAGAGTACAGTGGAAAGGAGACCTGTGGGGATCAGCTTCCAACTGCATTATGGCAAAATGAATAATTCAAGAATATTGTTTTGGATCAGGTATCCCTTTCAGCATCTTTAAAAACCTTTCTTTCTATAGAGGGATTGCATATCTATTCAACATCATGTCAAGGATTCTTTCTTGACTATAGCGCTGCATGATAGCAAAGTGAAGTAGGTGAATGTTTCAGAGAGATGAAAATGTGTTCATTACAGCAAAATATTTACTTCAGTTATGATCTCTAAACACTTGAAAGGTATGTTTTGAATTCAGAAATGTGTAGTATTTTATTCACTTGATTTTCCATCTTGGTTATAAGCATTAGGTTAAGGGTAGGAAAATGAGATCCATGCACCAGATCATCAGTAAATGTTTTAGTCAGTTACACTTTTTCTAATTTCAAGCATTTTATTTTTGTAGCCAATGATGCCCTTTATAACACTGTTTAGAGAACTTCTCTAAACTTATAGTTTAGATAAGATCCCTTTCCAAGAGGATCAAACCAGTCAATCCTAAAGGAAATCAACCCTGAATATTCATTGGAAGAACTAATGCTGAAGCTGAAGCTCCAGTACTTTGGCCACCTGATGTGAAGAGCCAACTCATTGGAAATGACCTCAATACTGGGAAAGATTGAGGGCAGGAGGAGAAGGGGGTGACAGAGGATGAGATGGTTGGATGGCATCACTGACTCAATGGATATGAGTTTGAGCAAGCTCCAGGAGACAGTGAAGGACAGGGAAGCCTGGTGTGCTGTAGTCCATGGGGTCACAAAGAGTCACACACAACTCAGTGACTGAACAGCAACAACAGAAAGACACATTTAATAGACTGATAAAATATGTATGTATAAGAGAATGAAGAAATTTTATCAGCCAACTTTTCTTTTGGGAGAGAACTGTTTGGAAGACACTGCTGACCTGTCAGATTAGAAGAAAAATCCCCAAAGCATACATAAATCACTGGGATGATCCCTAAACTGCCATGCACAGGGCAAGGAAAGAGATCTGTGTTGCTCCTGAAGGGACAAGAGGAATGTGAAGGGGAAAACAGGGCAAGAGTAGATGACACAGGTGAGTGAATGTCTTAAGTAATGTGTGTTGTCTGATTTGCGCTTTCCCTCTGACTCCATCATCTTTTAGCCATCTCCAGTAATACATTTTTCCAAATGCTTAATAGTGTGGATTTCTGGTGGCAGCCAGTGACGGAAATGAGCCTGGGTGACAGAGGGTGAAAAGAAGAGTGCTGAGCCAGAGATGCTTGGAGACATCAGACGATAGCTGGGTTACAAAGACACCAAAACAGAAAATGGAGCCCAAGAAAAGGCAGAAAATAAATTCCCTAATACTTCACAGTTGTTTAGAGATGTCTGTGATTTACTTCTAACCCTGGCTTGGAGTTCCTGAGAGCCATTGTATAGGGAAGTATGGTCAGTTCCATAGCTCTTGTTTTCAGAAAATAAAAGATCTTACTATCCTCAAGAATTTTTTCCAATTTTATTTCTGGAAGGAGTTTCTTAGGCAAGTCTTTCCGCAAAAGACCTCAAGTGACATAAGAAAAAAATTCCCTTCAAAAATAGTTTTATAGTCAATGTAGATACAGATTTTATGTGGCTGCTCCTAGATCTGCCCTTGATTCCAGTATGGGACATGAAAGCGAATGCACAAACCTGAGAGAACTCTTTGAAGGACTAACTTAATCTGGTCTGAGTCTGAAGCTGTCTGTAGTGGGAGTTTGTGGCTGGTTTGCTAGCCTCATTCCATTCCAGTTGACTCATCTAAGCCAATCAAGGTCGTTCCTTTCCCCTTGCCCATGACTCCTCCACAGTCACACTCTGACTTAATGCTGGGCGCTGAGAAGCAAGAGGAGATTTAGAGAACTTCTGGGAAAGGCTTTCTCCATCTTAAGTAGGAAATGCAGAGAGACAGCATCTCTCCTTTTGTGGGATGTGGTTGATTGTGATGTGATCTAGTCCTGTGCAAGCTAATGTATGTCCTTACTGTTTGTATGCTTGAATTGGGGATTGTTTTCCTCACAGTCAAGAACATGTTGACTGATATATATCTTTCAATAATCTACCATAACCCAATGATAAAACAGTGGAGGCCATTATACAGGAACAAAGGAAAGCAAGTGGGTGAGGTCATGACCCATCTTGCTGCTTACTTCTGCAGTCAGCCTTACCTTTTACCATTCTCCACCCACTACTATACTTCTGTACTTCAGGGCTATTAAACTTGTTTTCTTTTGTCATGATTCTTTTACAAACTATCCTCTTCCCAGAACAGTTCTCCACCTGCTTGAGTGAGTGTACACTCACACACCTCCAGCCTGGCTACTTCTGCTCAGCTTTCATTCTTTCAAGTTCATTCTGCTACCACTTCTGCTGGTTGGGATAGTGAGAAACTCCTTTGACATGCATCCCAACCCCTGCTTGTTTAGGATACCCAAGGTAGGAAGTCTCTAAGTTAGCCCCAGGGAATTCTCCCTCCCTTTTATTTATGCCCTTGTGCAATCTTTTTCTTTTAATGTGAGCTGGACCTGTGACTCACTTGTAATGAATGAGATATAGAAAAAGGATATGCATTCCTAACTTATGCTGTCACTTCCAGGATAAAGTTACAGAAAAGAAGGTGACTTTTTGTCTCCAGCACCCTTTCTTATTCTCTGACTCTCTCTTGTGCCACTGATTGCCAGAGGTTCCGAAGCATTTATAGAGAGGCCTGCATGGTGAGGAACTGAAGCCTGCCAGTAACCATGTCAGTGACCTTGGAAATAAATCTTTTGAGGCCTGTAAAAAAATCATGTGGGGCTTCCCTGGTGGCTCAGGGGTGAAGAATCCACCTGCAGTGCAGGAGACGTAGGTTCAATCCCTGGGTCAAGAAGATCCCCTGGAGAAGGGAATGGCTACCCACTCCAGTATTCTTGCCTGAAAAATCCCATGGACAGAGGAGCCTGGTGGGCTGTAGTCTGTGG